GAAGTTCGCAATCCATCTCAAAGTACAGCACTGAGAACATAGCGTGTTTGGCGTTCGTGTCGGCACCTCACGGTGTTAAGGAACGGTGGTTTAGGTTTGTGTGGCGAACGACAATCACCCAACGACCGACGCTCACAACTTGGATCCCACCATTAACAAAAAGCAATATTATAGTTATATAACTGTTCAGATGTTTTTAATTCAGTTTTTTTTCAATATTCTTCTAAAATTCAACCACTATATTTACCTAAAAATCAAATAATACCGGTTTTATGCATTTTCGTATTAAACCTGTAGTCAATTCATGTTCCAGGGCCACTTGGTTTAGCCGTGCATTATCAGCCAATATACCATGGATTGCATATGCAAATTTTGTGTTTGGACCAATCAAATCAATGGATTAACACCATCAATATACTGGTATAATATAATGTTATATATTTACTGTAGCAGTATATTATATCTATAAATCACATGGCTTCCATTATCTAAGAAGTGCTAATTGTAAATTATTTTAGTCTTTGGTTGAAATCTTGGTTTTTATTTCTCCCTATAGCATACTTGCCCTATTGTTGGCAGTAAAACGTTCTTTTTATATTTTCTTGATTTTTCTTTTTTCAATCTTCCTTTTCTTGTGTAAATCTTCATGTAAATGCAGGACGATGATTTCCATGATGCCCTAGCTACTCCATTTCCTGTGACCCAGGTAGCTTTCCCATTCACGTCATGTGTAAAGTTTGGTTGGCTGCATTTTGAAACACCAGCCCGCATGGGATGTTGTCCTTTTTGCATTTGCTAATATATACTAAATTGTCGTCCCTCCCATCTTTCTTACCATATTTGATACTACCGGTATATGCATTTGCCATATTTGGTACTATGTATATATGCATTTGCCATATTTGGTACTATGTATATATGCATTTGCCATATTTGGTACTATGTATATATGCATTTGCCATATTTGGTACTATGTATATATGCATTTGCCATATTTGGTAC